TGCATCAAAGACCAGCGGGCCATCGTAAAACGAATGGTCGCCCAAGTCACCATGCACGCCATGTTCATCCCCGTTGAATCGTCCTCCGTGAACCCCGAAAGGATTCACATCAAACTCCGTTTCATCTTCATAGAACTCCTTGTCGTTGAAATGTGGAGGCGGACGGTGGTGGGGCGCCCCACCGGGACCGCGTCCGCCTCGGCCACCATGATGTCCTCCGCGACCTCGCCGTCCCCCGGCAAAGTCCCGGTTCGCATGCTCGCCTGGAACAATGGTTGCAAGAGCCAAACGAATGTCCTGAAACCCCACCGAGAGTTTTTCTATTTGACGCTCCATCGCCTCGATGGCGGCATCACGCCTGTCGTCGACATTGTTGCGTCTCGGTGGCATCGAGGATCGTGTAGCTGGACTCTGGATACCAACTGATGCATTTGAAAGCGTACGAAAGACACGAGAGTATAGAATACTCGATAATAATATAATTTTATTCAATCATTCACCAACTTCTTCATCATATGATTACATAATTTATAAGAATTCTTGTGACTTTTTGAATGCCCCCTAATAATGTTTCTAGTTTTTAGCTAATGTTGAATGCCTCTTTGATTTTGGTACTTTGACTACTACAAACTTCCATACTAACTTTAAGATAACATAATAATATGAAGAGTCACATAAGCATGTAACTCATGCACGCTTCCGACGTCGCTCGTATTTGACCAAGAATGCCAAGGCGATCTCGCTCGTATTTCATTATGGGCGGCTAATTATTCGGCAGTTTTGGAGGGGAGTGTTGAATTGGTTGGACGATATTCAACCTTCGTGCATGATAGGGAAAAACGATTGGAGATTCCTGCCTTGGTACTACTACGGTGTCGACACATTTGGTGCCATACTTGGGCGATAAAGCGGACGAAGACGAGATCCATTCGGATTCGAGGGCGAATCCTCTTCAACCCGGGGAGGATGATGGAAACGAGATCGCCTTGACATTCTTGGTCAAATACGAGCGACGTCGGAAGCGTGCATGAGTTACATGCTTATGTGACTCTTCATATTATTGTGTTATCTTAAAGTTAGTATGGAAGTTTGTAGTAGTCAAAGTACCAAAATCAAAGAGGCATTCAACATTAGCTAAAACTAGAAACATTATTAGGGGCATTTAAAAAGTCACAAGAATTCTTATAAATTATGTAATCATATGATGAAGAAGTTGGTGAATGATTGAATAAAATTATATTATTATCGAGTATTCTATACTCTCGTGTCTTTCGTACGCTTTCGACTGCATCTGGAACCGACTAATCCGGAATCGAGCCGAATAGGACCACAAGGGCGACAAAGCTCTCCCTCAAGAGTTTTTAACACTGCTGCATTCACAGGGCTCGAACACGAGACCACTGGTTAAGCTGGAAGAGATCCAAGTCATCTCATCCAAGCGCTCTTGGGTGATGAACTTTAACTTTTGTTTAATATAAATAGAAAAAGAATTTGTTTTGTTCATTTTATATACTTTAATACAGGTGTTGGATCAAATATCATCAGATATAATCAATTAAAAATTAACTTATATACATATAAAGGTAACTGAGTTATAAATTTTTTTAAGAATAACAAAGTTATTAATATTGAATTTAAAAAATGAGAAAAGGAAAAGGCACAAAAATCTATAGTATTAAAAGCAGTAAAAGTTAAAATGGTTATGCAAAATATCTACAAATGAAATTGTGAATAGATAAGTTGACCTATATAAATATAGGAAAATACTACCGCCCGTTACAGAACCGTTCCGCCGGGTGGATAGTTGACTTAATAGTTACAAACTTCGATGAAATAGACAATATAATGAGTAATTTTATTTGTTTAATTTTGACATTTACTAGTGCGTATCCCGTGCGATGCACAAGCATATAAATTTGGAGAATATTACAATTTTACATGATTAGGATATATGGAGTTCATTTCATACGAACATCACTCAATCATAAAATGTTCGTCACAAAAAAATTATATATTATTAAAAAACTTCTTTGTACACAACATGTTGTGAGAGCACGGGCTGCACAAATGCTGCAGAAACTGGGCCTCACTCAACTTGGCTCCCTTGATGGGCTTCTCTCTTAGGCTGCGAATGCTGATTGCTGTCGTCGAAAAAATTGCCCCCACACTTGGACAACTTTTCTTATTTCCAACTATAATATAAGATATATTTTATTACAAATTTAACTTTTTTATTCCTATTTTATGTCGATAATTATTTTTTATATTCCCAACTATACTAATAAAGTATATTTTTAGTTCGAATCATGTAACTTCCTTAATGGTGAGTTGAATAATTTATAGATAGAAACTTAATTTTATGATTCCCTCTAATTTCTCTCCCGCCTCCCCTCTTATTTCATATTCCATATTTCACAATTTTCTCCAAATAGAAAAAAAAAGTTACATACAACAATTATTAGATTGACCATCAAATAACACAAAATAAGACTGTAAATAAACGAAAGTTTTTTCTTCATAATTTCTACAATTTTTTGTTGAAAATAATAATTGTTATGTTTCAGAAACAACATTGGTTTGTTTGTTTTATATTTATTTATGGATATGCTATCTATCTTATTTTTTGTTCAAAGTTAGTTTATTTTATATTTATATCATCAGATATATCATCTTGGTCATCATTGGACATAAACTCATACAATGTGATGATAAATATGCATTTAGATTTAACATATACAACATAAATGTAAAAATACAGAGAATACACTAACGCTAAATTTAGTTTATTAAAAAGCTGCATAACAATTAGAAAAATGTGATTTTCTTAATTATATAAATAACATTAATTATGATTTATCCATTGTTTTTAAATTAAACCGGATTGGACACAGCCCGACCAGATAGATCGAGAACCGGTTTATAACCAGTCTAGTTTGCTTGAATAAAATATTTGCTATCGAATTCGTCACCATGATTGGTTGGATTGGTAGGATATATACGATTTTTGTGAAATTGATTTTTTTTTTTCATTATAAAACCCAAACCAATTTTAAAACTCATAAAACATAAAATACAAAATTGGGCCCATATATTTGGACGAAAATAACAGTAGAAAACAATTTTAATTGGTCATTTTATTATAACTGCTGGATCCAATAGATAGCCCAATATGAAAATATAAGTAAGTATAGAGCATAAATATCCATTTCGGTTCAGATGATATTAAATATACCAAATTCATTTAATTATTGATCAAACGGCTTAAATTTGTTAACATAAATCCAATGGACCGGAACTAACTATCAACTATAAAAGGCAATCCATGTCCGAATTTATAGGGCTTCTGATTTTGTTGACCGCATCCTTACATTTACCTTATCTCTTTTCACTTATCTCCATATCCCTCACGGTTCAGAAATTATGCATTATGAATATTTTAATTTGTTTTTGTGTTTTTTATATAAAATTTGTGTTTTATATTATGATTTTTTATTAAGTTTTTGAAGTTTTAAACACAAAACGCCTCAAATCTAGTTATAGATCTTCATTTGTTATTAGAATACATGTTTTTTTTTTATTTTTTTGTACCACAAATAATTTTTTGTGATGTAATGTTGTGAATTTTTATTGATTTTCGAAGATTCATTACAAAAGTTAATATTTTCTGTTAGGTTTTTAAATTTAGTGTATATCTGGTAGGATTTAGAATAATCTGTATGAAAGAAAATATGAGTGGCTAGAATTTGGTTCAAAGTGATATATTTGATTTCAATTTGTATTTTAAATTAGAATCCAAATTTGTAGGCTTAATTGATTTTATGAGAAAATTAGATTCCAAGTATGTAGGCTTAATTGATTTTTTGAAAAAAAAATCGAAAAATAATTGTATTTTGATATGTGATTGTATTATGGAGGAATAAACTAATTTCTTTATTTTATGCGATTCCAATTTGTATTTAAATTTGATTCCAAATTTGTAGGATGATTGAACTTTATGTTAAAAAAAAAGTAAAAATGTAATCTGATTGTATGTGATATGGGATGAGATTGTATTATGGAGGAATCAACTAACTCCTTTATTTTAGGGGATTTTAGTTTGTATTTGAACTACATTCCAAATATGTAGGCTACATAAGTCAAATGTTGTTTCAGTTTTATTTTTATTAAAAAAATAAATAAAAATAGTAAGCAATTAATATTGTCCTAAAATTATGGTTACTATTTTTGGTAAATGGTAATTCTTTTTATATATATATAGATATAGATAATTAATTGCTGATTGTGGACTCAAGCTACTAAAGAAGTGATACCGAGTGCAAACTGGAGGCCCATGATTCCTAGAAAAAGTTGGGCCTCTAAGAAGACACTTGGGGTTTTTAGCCCATTTATTGAGCTATCAATCAATCTTTCCGGCCCAGGCCCCTTATCAGTGATCCCTTTCAGGTCGCGAGGGTTTATCCAGTCGGAAGACAGTGCAGTAACCAGAGAAAGTACGCCCTTTCTTCCTCTTCCTCTCCTCGTCCTTGTTCGCAGCTCTTCATTCCTTCGTCCTCAAAAGGCGAAGCTCCTCTAATGGCGTCCATAAATTTTAATCCATTTGGCGAAAACTGGTTCAAAAACCCACTAAAGCTACCATTTCAACCAATCAACCTCGTGTCCTTACTCTTCAAACCCTATTCAAAAGCAACGAACTTTGCTTCCATATCCAGCTCCTTCTCCAAAAAGGAGAAAAAAACCGAACCAGAGGAGGAGAAAAACCCTGCGAAATATATCGATATGCTGGAGCAGTTCTACTGGGAGTGCGAGAATTTGCCTGATTACAGGCACACCCCCGAGGTTGAGAAGATTCTGCAGGAAGACCCAATTTTGGAGACGAGGGAGAACCCGACCCAGGAGGAGATTAAGGAGAACCAGGAGTGGTGGGATGAGTTCCGTGCCAGCCCGGTTGTGCAGTTCTTGGCCCGCACGGAGGAGATTGTAGATAAGCTTAATCAGATGGAGCTTCGGGATAATTCCTCACCTTACCGGCCAGAAGATAGGAAGTTTTGGCGGGTTTGAGTCTCATTTGTATTTCTTTGAAGGATATGAAAGTTGGATTTTTTTTTTTTTCTTGACTCGTGTTTGTTTGTTTTGGATTTTGTATTTTGAAGTCAGTGCCTCATGTGCTTGGGCTGGACGGGAGGCCGATGCCTAGGAAAGCAATAAAACGCCGCAAACAGGCAGAAGATAAATTCTGGGATTTTGCTAGACAGTTCTTTTTTGGGCTTTGGAGGTTCCGGCAGAGGCCGTATCCATCCGGCAGGCCCATTGATGTTGCTCAGGCCATCGGTTATAAGAGACTCGATGGCCGCTATTATGACTGTAAGTTCGATTTCTTTTTCTTCTATTTGTGTTCACTCATTCTATAGCTTTCAAGCATTTAAACTACCACTAGACTGCTCGTCAACTGCAAGTTACTAAGGGGCTATAGCTATGTCGTGTTTTTCTCCGTGAAACATCTGCAAATTATTCGTGAGCGTTTTGGTGTGAATCATGGATATTAACCTTTGGAAAGTGATCTTCTCATTTATGCTCTTGCAAAAGTTGTTTTGAGAAAGGGTAATATGTTGTATTTCACTCAGGCATACCTTGTTGGAGTTCCATGTGGATTCTTAAGTTGAATTGATAAAAAGGGCATTGGGAGTAACACATTTTTTTTTGCAGGAAATCTTACAACATCAGACTTACCCAACACCATTTATTTCTTTGCTTTCTTTGTTGAGTTTCATCTGTCAAATGGATGGGAATCCCATCTACGTCTACTATTCTTTTATTTTTGAACAATTGAATGTATGAAAAGTATTTATTTGTTGCTCACTTTCTCTCTGCCACTGCACTGTTTTCCTTCTCTCCATTTCCTTTTTGTTTTGGGCTGTTTTTTGGACAGATTGTTATATAAATGGCCAAGTGTTAAAATTTGCTTGATTAGATAAATGAGCTATATGCGTACGTCTTATGTCATTCAGCAGCTAATTGATATATATTTTCTTGATCATAGTTATCATGAAAACTGGTAACTGGTTCTATAAAGACCGGTTGGGCCGTACAAGAGGACCTATGGAACTAATACAACTTAAAACTGCTTGGGGTGGTGGAATAATTGACAAGCACACTTTTATTTGGGGTGATGACATGGACGAATGGGTGCCTATAAGCATGATCTATGGCATGGAGCGTGCCATTTGCACTTGGGACGGTTTGTAATTCATGCTCCAACTTTTTATTTTAGCTTGATCTTGTTGGCGCTCTGACTCTCACTTGTAGTATGATATTCATTCAAGTCTACCTGGGATTGTTAAACTTCTAATTGTTTTTGTATAAGTACTTAAGGGTGATGTTTATGGAAGTAGAGCTAAAACTTAAACATTGAGTGATTATTTATCTCAACTAGTGTTGATACCCATGCATCTGCAATACAAAAAATATATATTTTTTTAAATATATAAAAATATTTAAGACAACATGAATATATTCTCCACGATATTCTATTCAGTAATAATAGGACATTTATTTATTTACTATTTTTCTAGTTTTATATATTTTTTGTAGTTTCATATGATATTTGCATATAAATTAGTTGTATGTACTTATAAAATTGTTGTTTATCGTAGTGTTATAATTTTTTTAACTATTCATAATTTGCTCATTGCTTGATAATTGACCAACATTTAACCCACAATATTTATTTTCTGCTATTATTATTGGAGTATTTGAAACATTTTTTTTTTTTGGGGCAAAGGAATTTTTCACAAATCTCGTGATTATTCATTTGTTGAGGGGTGTGTGCTTGAATTCTGCTTATAAAAATTTCCCCCGAAAACAACACTTTTGGTTTTAGATCCCCAACTCACGTGTAATCTGCTCTGCTATGCATGACTTTTGCCTTTTTTTCTCCAGTTAAATTAGGTGCTGCAGCAACAGCTTTTTTTCATAAGCTACAAAAAGGCATACCTCCTTGGGTTCCTCTCAAGGGGCACGAGCACAAAACCTACAAACAGATGCAAGACGAAGCATATGAAAGCAAAAATCGCGATTTAGCCGTTTTAAAGGCTAATGATGGTGTTTGGCCTGGCATGAGGACTCCAAGTCATGCTCTTTTCCTCTGGGCTAGTGGTTCCGAGCTGACAACACTTATGGAAGAAGATTTCATGCCCAACAAATACATTCCCCGGGATATTAGGTTCCATCCCCCCCCCTTTTTTTTCCCTCTGTTAATGAATTTGTGAGAAGTTGCATTTATTTTTTATTTGACTCGTCTATTTTTGTTGGCGGACAGGGATCAACTAGCAGAAATTATTCCTGGTTTGAGGCCATGGGAGGTATTGAGCATCGAGCAAGCTATGGATCAGATCACTTATGGTGGGGAGTGGTACCGTGAACCTTTTGGCCATTTCACCACTGGCCCTCCATACATCAGAGAGCACAACAGAGACATTATGGTAAATCTAAAGCTATATACTACTACCTCCTATTTTTAATATATGTCGTTTTGAGAAGTTGCATACTAATTAAGAATATTTTTTTTTGTCAATAATAACTTTATTTAATGAAGATAGAGATGAATGTTTTGAGAAAAAGTGGAGAATGAATATGAAAAGACGTAATGTATTATTGGTTAAATGAGAGTAATAATGGAAAAATATGTACAAAAGATCCAAAACGACATTTATTTGACAAATAGTTAAAAAAGCTATAATGACATTTAAAAAAAATAGGAGGGAGTACATGATAGTGTGAGATTAATTAGACCATCTTCAATCCTCTACTCTAAGTTTACTTACTCTAGAGTAAAAAATGTCAAAATTTAACTCTTCGTCTCCAGTCGTTCGCGCTACATTTTACTATGAATTAACAAATAAAATTTAAATTCAACTTTAAAATCAAAATTTAAAATTATTTAATAAAATAAGTAATTTTATTGTTGTATACTTTGTCAAAATAGTGTTTAAAAATAAAAGTCAATTATAAAATTAAAATTTGAAGGTATAGAAAAAATTGTAGCGCAACATACTCTGAAGTAAAGTTGCAATGTAGAGCAACATTGGAGTTGCTCTTACACCTTTGAAGGGCGGTGATTTTAA